TTTCTGAAAATTGTCAGATCTAGCATCCTAATTCAATATAAAGCAAAGTAGTTCTGAATTTTAGAGACCTAGGTACTGATCCTGATTCCGTTATAATTGTTACTTCTAAAGTAGTTACTTCTCAATTTTTTCCTTTCTAAAGTGCATGTTGGGGGGCCAGTAGGTGGCATAGTGGTTAAGGTGCTGGACTCCCACATGGCTGACTGTGGTTCAAGTACTGGACCAGGCAGCTTGAAACTCATGCTGGGCATGTGTGCATGCATGCCCAAAATCCCAAGAGGGGAATGTTGGAGAAAGGATTGTATTATAGATTTTGTTTTATTTGTATTATTTTAGAATTACTTAATTTATTATTATGTTTATTATTATTTTATTTAACTTTATTTTGGTTTGATCAGAGAGAAAGGGAGGGAGGGAGGGAAGGAGAGAGAGAGAAAGAGAGAAAGAGATTGAGAGAAAATAAGAAAGCAAGCTGCCAAGTCTGCGACTTGAACTTTTGTCAGCCAGCCACGTGGGAGTCCAGTGCCCTTAAACCACCATGCCACCTGCTGGCCCCTGGCAGCTTGCTTCCCCACTTTCTCTCTATCTCTCTCTGGCCAATTAAAAAATAATCATAAATATTACAAGGATAATTATTTAAATTATTAAAATAAGTTTCAAATAATTAAAATTAAGTAATTAAAAATATGTTTTAAGGGATTATTAGTAAGATGGTGAAGATGTACACTTTTTTTTTAAAGAATTATTTTATTTTAACTTTATTTATTTATTAAAAAAAATTTTTTTTGACCAGAGAGGGACAAAGAGAAAGAGACTGGAAGTGAGAAAGCAAGCCACCAGGTCTGGGACTTGAACTGTGGTCAACCATGTGGGAATCTAGTGCCTTTCGCCATCATACCACCTGCTGGCCGCAACATTTTTTTTTTTTTTTTTTTTTAAAGAGGTTTTTGTTAGAGAGGGTGTGTGAGAGGTTTTTGCTATAGAGTGTGTGTGTGTGTGTGCTCACCAGAGAGACAGAGAGAAACGGCTACAGGGACAGAAAGCAAGAAATCATTTCTGCGGCGACGGCCATGCCTCAATCCCTTCTCCTTCGGTCTCCTCTCAGGATTTTGGGAACACGTGCATACGCACCTGGCGTGTTTTAAGCCACTGGGTCCAGGATTCGAACTGTGGTTGACTGTGTGGGAGTCCGGTGACATAACCATTGTGCCATCTGCTGTTCTCAAGATGTGCACTTTACTGCTTTCTCATTCCTGCCCCAATTCCACTTCATCTTGCAAGCTGCTATGTTCTTCTCTAACGAGTGTACTCTGCATCTAACAATTTGTAGTGTTTCCCAGTGTGACCACATCAGCTGACTCTTAGTGTCTGTACGTCGGACAGATAGGTTATTCTTCATGTGTCTTTTCACTCTCCTTCCCTTATCGATTTTTTTAAAGTTGATTTATTTACGAGGATGGAGAGAGAGAGAGACTGAATTTTGGCAGAATAACCGTGTTGAGAGACCCTCTTGCCCCCAACTGCTGCACGTGCCACCGTGTGCAGCCTGCTGAGATGGGCTGGAGCCTATCTGGGTCCTCGACTTCTGGAGAAAGGGTCTGTGCATTTGCCTTCTCACCAGCAGTGTGCAGACTGGTGTCCCTCTGTACCCTGCTGACAGCTATCTGAGATCTTCAGAGCGTCATTAGTCTGATAAATATTCACTAGTTTCCATTTATATTTCTCTCAATTGCCTTTTTATCTCCTTTCTTTCTTTTCTTAATGAGCTCTCAGTGTACAGTAGTTACTGTAGCTCCTTGCAGTCTGTTATCTGAAAGAAAAGTATAGGAGATGCACGTGGTAACAAATGAGTTACTGTATCTTCTCATGCTTACATTTGTAACTTTAATGTATCTCTTTCCTGTAACTTTTCCAAGGCATTCTTTCTCTTTCCTCTTTGAGAATTCCACTTTATGACAGTTGTACCTTTATTTTACCAAAATCCTCTCTGTCTTTCTCTGTCTCTCTGGCGAGCGCACGCGCCCTGTAGCAAAAACCTCTACCAAAAAAAAAAAAATTAAAATAATAGTAATGATAAATAAATAAAAACTTTTAGAAAACTTTTTTTTTTCTTGGAGACGTTTTTGCTATAAGGTGTGTACGGTCGCCAGAAAGAGACAGAGAGACAGAAAACGAGAAATCACCCCCGGGGGGGATGGATGTACCGCAATCTCTTCTCCTTCATTCTCCTCTCGGGATCTTGGGCACGCACGCACATGCACCTGGTGTGAGTTTAAGCCACCGGGTCCGGGACTCCAGCCATGGTCGATTATGTGGGAGTCCAGCGACATAGCCATTACGCCAACTGCTGGTCCCAAAAATCTTTAATCAATTTTGATACAGTAATAGGTGGAACTCCATAGATGGAACCCAGGATGTGGCAGTAGAACTGAGGTGCAGAGCAGGCACTAGCAAGGTGAAGTCATTCTTCTTCCCCTTTTTTCAAACTCTGTCCCCCAACCTCCCCCTCTAGTGGTGGCTGATACAGTGTAAGGGGTGTCAGAAAGTTATATTCAGTCTACTGAGTAATTCAAACTCAGTTCTTTTAATTGGAAGGATCGCTGTAATTATTTTTATATATTAAATCAAAATTTAATGACTATTTCAGTTGTAGGCAAATCTTTCTGTGAAAACCTATTACCAGATTTTGAGAGGTTTTTCTTTCTCTTTTTCTCCCTCCCACCCTCCTCCCTCCCTCCGTCCCTCTCTCTCTCTCTATCTCCCTTCCTCCCTCCCTCTCCCTCCCTCCCTCTCTCTCCCTCCCTCCCTCCCTCCCTCCCTCCCTCTGTCCCTCTCTCTCTCTATCTCTCTCATCAAATTGAAGAATAATGATAAATTAAATGA